TGGATAGTGGCAGGAAGTGGAGACTCATGTTTCTATACAGTAAATATTTCACCATATCAACTTAAACTGTGATGATATGTGACTATTAATAAATTCTGGTTATCCCCATTTGGCCCAGTAGTAGAAACCAGGTTATTTGAGGTTATTATGGTTAAACACAGTCTGACAGCAGCTTTTCTCACGTCCAACCCAACCGTGACGTCATGGCTTTTGTTATGTCATGGACTCAGTTAAAGCTCTCTCTGTTGTGTGCACACCTCTCTCCCTCTCTCTCTCCATTATCCATCTCCTTTCCAACCTCTGGGTCCCACCCTCTCCTCCTCTTTCTGTCCCCTCCCTCACTCCTGCATTCCATCTTTCCCACCCACCTCACCTCTCTGCATTCTCCCTCAACCTCTTTTTCTATTTTTCTGCAACTCCCATCTCAGTTCGCCTCGCTCTCTCTCTTCTTTTTTTCCCATACTCTCTGATTATCTTTCCAGACACTCTTCATTCCTAAACAGCTACAGACCTATATTCACAGACTCTTCCCATAATTTTCTGCCTCTTCAAAGCACAGGTCTTTGGTGTGCATCCTGAATGAGGCGAAGTAGACTGAGCTTCCTGCAGCTGTAGATTTTCACCACATCAGAATTGCACTGAAAATATGTCAGTACCATTAAATCAATAATGCTTATTAAAGGTAAACTTCCTAAAATGCTTGTGTGTCAATGACATGAGGAGAAAGTTGTTAAATCTTACTGAATTATTCCTGATCTCAGGGGATTCACATGACACACATTCGATACCTCCAGTGCCTGTGTTTATTATCTCATTCTCTCTGCAGCTTCGGGGACTCTCACCTTTGACCCCCCCACCCTGTTGGAGAGGGGGACATGTCTGTCAGTGCAGCACAGAGCGACTCTGAGGAGTATTCACAGTCCGGCCACATGACACTGCAGCCCATGTCTTTTCAGACATTCTTTAGGTTTTCACTTCTGAAACAAAGCAATGTCTTGTCTGGACTTACTGACAGTGATCTTAAAGGTACAGTGTGTAGAATTTAGTCATATCTAGTGTTGAAATTGAATGTTGCAGCTGAACACGCTTCACCTCACCCTCTCCTTCCAAACATGAAGAAGAGGAAACTGTGGTAGCCTTTAATTATCATAAAAACTCAAAAGGTGTTTAGTTTGTTCAGTCTGGACTAATGTAAAAAAAATGGCTGCCTCCGTAGAGAGGGTCCCCTTCATGTAAATATAAAGTATTTAAATATAAAGAGCCTTTTCTGGGGTAAAGAAAACTACAGTTCATACAATTTAGATGAAATGAACTAGTGAGAATATCATGAGAATTATTCTACATTAGATTTCTGCCAATAGTTCCCTTTCACCTAAATCTGACACACTGGACCTTTAAATGCTTAAACCCTCTGTGCACACGTACAGACACCGAGATGAGAATAAGGAACTTCTCAGAGACGCAGGGTGTCATTTCCTTGGGAGTTGTCTTCAAAGACGTCTCTTCAAAGACGTCTGTGGGATAAGCATATACTGAAAGAGATCATACACACATGCAGGGCAACACCTCTGCTCAAAGATACCTCACATATTCATGCACTGAGGCCATGAAGCGGCACATGCACTCTTGTCAAGTAGCAGTATTTTAATTGCCAACTGCTGACAAATTTTGAATCCACAAAACACTGGCCACTGACAGCAACAAGAAAATAAGAAGCTGCAGCTGATTTTCGGTCCCAAGCCTATGAATAGGTAATTGGTAGTTTAGTGATCCAGGGTGTTTGATCCCTGGACTGCACAGAGTTTATGGGCGAGCCACTGGATCACAAAAAGAAAACAATTATCATTTGCAAGGAATTTTGCTATTCATAGTCAGACGTGAGCTTTTTGTGTAACAGCAACCGCATGAAATGAGACGGCAAAATGACAAGTTGTAACAAGTCTCATGTAAGATTGTAGAGTCAGAGCTATATGGAAACACAACGCTGATTCCAAATGTGTATAAAAACAAACACTTGTACATGGTTTAATGGAAATGAAAAGACCATAATTAAATCTGACTCAGCTTTACTTTTGACCACATTCGACTCATATAGCTGAATGAGTATTTGAGTCAAACAATTTGTTTATATCCAGAATAAGTTATTTCACTGCACACTGTATGTTGCAGTGTTGAAATTTGCAGGTGTCTGTGTGTCATTTCCAACATGTTTGTATGTAAAACAGGATTTACCTCTGATCAGATCATCTCTGTGCTTGACTTGAACCTGGACTCAATAAATGAGTCTCAGAAACAAACTAACTAACTACAACTAACTGAGCGGAGAGACGAACTCAGTTCTCCACAGACGTCTGACAGACAGAGAATTAGGACGCACCAGCTGCTCTAGTTTCCAATAGAGTGTGAAGGGGTCAAAGGCTAGAGCTCACAGGTCAAAACCTGCAGAGGGGTGAGGACCCTGCATAAATGATGCAACCAAACTGCCACTTGCCATTTAAATATAGTTAGAGCTTCAGCTACAGTGTGCAAGTGGCTGTTCATGGCATGAGCACTGAGGTAGCTGCTGTGATTTATAACCTCAGCTACATGTGACGGGGTTAGAGCGGGGATAAGTGTGATTCCAGCACAAACTGTGGACTCTGTGACAGCTCTGATGAGATGATCATGGCTGCTTGTTTTGGTCCTGGGTTTCCTCTGTGAACAAAGTGGCCCCTTAGATTATTAAAGGTACTGCAGGTACTGCTGCAGCTGTCACAGTTTAAATTCAGAGGAAGTTTTGTTTTGACAAGGAGAGTAATGATCAGTGGTGGAATGTAAGAACATTTACTCAAACACTGTGCTGTTGAGGTGCTTTACTTCAGCATTTACATTTTCTGTTACCTTATGCTTTTCTGAGGGAAATATTATACTTGCTATTCCACAACATTAATCTGAGAAGTGGGTGGAAAACTTTATATGAGTAGCTTCAACAGTAAAATCCATTGTTTTAGAATATAGGACAAGATGGTGAATGTCCCTTAACAGTAAGAAAAATCCAATATTAGCTGATTTTAAAGAATATCACTTTTGATACTCAAAGTGATTCAGTGTTTCTCATTGCTTTCTTTGAAACTTCCTCCATCACCATCTTTGCTGGTTAACATTTTTTCCAGATTGTTTGAAATAAAATTAACTAATTATAAGTTGACCATGGAGTTGAGGTTTGTGTTCCCACTGCTGTGGTTTGAGTATTAACATTGGACAGACTGTAAAGTGTCTAAACTTACCTAAATTAAAACATTAAACATTTAACTGTGGTCAAAGCTGCACAGAAATCAAATCAAGAGTTCCTGAACGATTAGTCATCCTCTCTGCACATCATGTTTACACAGAAATGTATTTTCACTTTGCCACCTTTATCTTATCATACACAGTATGTGTACTACTATATATAAAACAAGTTATAGTAAAATGATTGCCTGTATCAATTACCATGAAGTAATCACTGTCAGTTATAGACTGCAACCCTAATGCACCCCTGTTTGAAATGAGTGTAAAACTGACAATTAAACCAAATGTAGTGCTTCTAATAAAAGTCCCTCGTGTAATTTTACCACAGACACATTGGTTCTCACTGTGTTCTCTTCCAAAAAGTGTAGCACACTGCATTAATAAACTCATCCAACAATAACAAACATAAACCTCTTTAATCCCTATTTGACCTTGGTGACTGGATAATATCGTGCAGTGGTTACATGAACTTTCTGTCCGTCCAGAAGGCAGTCAGAAGTTAAGGACACAATCTATATATATAATAATAAAACACATCAAAGTTTAAGCTTTTCACGTCATATCTTGAATCTTATAAGTTATATTATTTTCTGGTTTAATCGATCAATATTCGAGTTGGTAAAACACTGAAAAAGGACCAATTTCCCAGTGCTCAAAATAACATCTTCAAATAGTTCTGTCCAAACAGTGATGTTACATTTACTTTCATTTATGACAGACAGTGTCTGAAATGATAAATCCACCATGAGAGTATAGCTAGATATCAATTCTCTTTCAATTGTGAATCCATTAAATGACTAATCATCACTTAAACTCCAACAATGACTGATGATAACTTGAAGGTTATCATGATTTTTGGGGTCAAAATTAGTGTAAAGTATAAAGCTTCATACAAATGAATCAGGGACTTGATCAACGCTTATCTCTTCTATTGCTTGACCACATGGTTATTTTTCTTTACTTAGTATAAGTTTTAACCTTTAAACTGATGAGTATTACGTGATGAGTAATAACATGAACAGTAAACAACATTGCCTTGTTGGACTTCATGATACATGTTTTAATCAATATCAAGTGACACATCATTGTGACTGATGCATTACTTGTGTTTTACAGTTTTTAATTAGTTTATTTATGGATCAATGTGAACGAACGTGAACTCATAGAACTCTATTCTCCACACTTGCTTCCCTGTGGGTGGTAACTATAAATCCATATTTCCTTGTCATTTGTATCTCATGAAGTTGTTCTTGTCCACTCTGAGTTTTACTGCATGTTAACATAATATCCTAAATATGACGGTGTCTGTGCACACCTCTATGACTTCATTCTGTTTTATTTGAATAAACTAATCATATTATTCTGGGACATCTTTGCTGTTTAGTTTCCCTGCAGGTGTCACAGTGCGATTTATCACAGACTCATGAAACATGGAGCTGAAATGAAACTTGCCAACATCCAGGAGAAGAAGCGGCTTCAGCTGGAGAGACCAGGAGAACCTGACATCGCTGCGCTTTCGAACAAGGCGGGGGTGGGGGTGGGGGGGCACCACAGTGAGAGAGGGAGGAAGAAGAAGGTCTGAAGTTTTTTGGGTTCAGTAGCAGCACGTGGAGGAAGGAGTGGTCTGGGATAATGGAACCTGGGAGACAGAATGGGAGGGAGACGGGGCTCAGGTTTCAGCCTGACAGGGGGTAAGGGGCCGGGCTGATATTTGGGAATATACGAAGATTCATAGAAGGCAACGGGGACATAAAACTACAGCGTCTGGCCTAGAGGCGGTCGGTGCTGAGTTTCTGCTGCAGGTCCGGGTCCTGCCGCTGGATTCCATCGGTCCTCTTGTTTTTTTTTTTGGAAAGGGTGAATGTCGAGTGGTTCAGCTTTTGCAACTGGGGACGCACACATCAAACACTGAGAGAAGCCTCCGCTACCTGCGCACCCTTATTTCTCCCCCAAGGGCCCTGCATGTCTAATATTTAGACATGTTCAGCTTTATGGATTCCAGGACTGTACTGCTGCTTGTAGCAACCCAAGTCTGTCTATTAGCCGTTGTGAGATGTCAGGAGGACGAACGTAAGTTTTGCTTTTTTTGTTTTTTATTTCAGAGCTTTAATAAAGAAATGTTAAAGTTATCATAAGATGCACATGGAGAGCTTGTGTTCTCCAACTGATCAGAATGTATTTATCTCGAAGCGTAGCACGCGAACTTTGATCAGTTTTGAAGCTGCACTGGTGCCACTTTGCAACTTTTACGCACAGAAAGTTGTGGAGCCAACCTGTTGCAGGTAAAGTTATCTGATTGATGACACGTTGTGGACGGTGTGTCAGTCCATAAGTGCTGATGTTACTGTGTCCAAACGATGCGATGAAGCTCAGTGCATCAGAACTGTGGATGTGCGTAAAAAGGTGGAATGGATGGGAGGATGTGGGACGAAATAAGATTCATTAGTTTTCTTTGGTGCACGAAGTTATTTTTGTACAGATTCATTTTGTTAACTGTTGTTTTTATTAATTCTTGTCACAGTTTAAATTCTCATTTATAATTTGAAAAGTGAAAATCACAAGAATCAGATTTCGATCCACTCTAGTGGAGCTAAATGCCTTATAGCCCATACTTCCCCTTTCTGGACACCTGTGGGTGCTTTAGGGGCCTTGACAAGCCTTCCCCTTTTGACTGCAGATTCACTTAATATAGAGGGGGAGGGGGGAGGGGATGGGTAAAAAGTGCAAGGTGGTCAGGCTCAAGGGCCTTTGGTGAAAAGTGCTCACATTCCTTTGCTGTCAGAGGGCATCCAGGCAAATCCTGGCTTGTTGAGGTGGAAAGGTTGACAATTAACCAAAATTTCCATAAAATAACCTCAAGAATCAGTTGAGCTTTCTGTTATCTTCATACCTGCCGAGTCTCTACTTTCACTGTTATTTTCTTCTCTTTTTTAAATAAGGTTGGTCTGAGATTATCCATCATCAGTATTGATTTTAGTATCCACAGGAGACACGTGAGAGTGAAGGTGTGCCAACAGATTTGGGGCCAGAAATAATGTTCCATATGATTTCAGGGTTTCCATCTGCTCAAAAGATTACCCAGAAAGCAGTGACAGTCAGCCCAGAGAGAGAGAGAGAGAGAGAGAGAGAGAGAGAGAGAGCCAGGGTGCAAGGGAGAGGTGACTGGAAAAATATAAGATGGAAGAAGGGAACTCTACTGTTGTAATTCTGAGAAGTGAAGTCTTCTCAGTATGAAATAAGTCATGCTTCTTAACCTTTTAGAGCACAGGAAAGGTGGGTGTTTTTTTTAGAGGAATGAGAAAAAAAGGGGTGGAGGGGTGCTCATGCCAAAGAAACTGCAAGTCTCAGGTTACCCTCTCAGAGACGAAAGCCCCTGGTTATTTTGCAGGTCCTTTCCTTTGCGCTAACTGGAGGCAAGAGTCTTTTTTTCTCTGAGACGTTCAGGTGGTGAAAAGGTCTGATTGTGACCTCAGGGCAGCAGGCTCGATGGCCCAAAGACACTCAGATGGCCTAGAGCTCAGTTCTTCGGTTAGAGGCCACTCTCTGACCTGTTCATGCAGGTGAGGAGGCCAGAAAACAAATCAGATACTGGTCAGAGTTAGAAAGCAGCCCAAAAATTGAAAAATACAGTGAAAACTGATTTGGTCCTACTGTCCTTGACGTACGTCTGGGTTCACTTTAAAAGTTTCATTGTTCATTTTACTCCCCTGGAAAACAGTACGTCTGCCAACACATGGGAAAGGAGACGTACAAATTATCTCCAGCGATGAAAAGCCAGCTTTCTATCAGCTCTGCAGCAGATAGAGGAGCCCTTGTCCCAGAATATCCAGTATCAGAGGAATCTTTCATATCTGAGTCAGTGGAAGGACAGGTGCAGGCCTTCGACAGTGCATCCAGGCCTGTAAAACCTCACATCAAAACCGCAAAGTATGTGCATGAAAGCTGTCCATTTTCCTCTTCTTTTTTTTTTGGGATGTGTTTGAACTGGCATCTGACACAGCTATGGCTTCCAGATGGGGTTTAAAATGCTCCCCCGTGTTTATACAAGGCAATAGTTTGTGAATTGCCCACTCTGTCCCCTTCCAGAAAGACCTCATTCATTACTGCTGAGGTCCGTTAGGTTACCTAGCGTTGAGGTAAATATAGCTACTGTACTCGCTCCCTCTCCTCACACCGCACGCCCGCGGCCTTGTGCACCTTGAGGCCTTTCTCCTGGTGGGTCGCACACACTCTCACCCCTCCGTGCAGGTTCACTGGCTCCAATCAGAGCATTTCTTTGAGCTAGTGTTTGGACTTCTGTTGACTATTCAGTGAAGTGCCAGACTGGCAAATGGACTGGAATATGGCTAATGACCTGCGTCTATTGTTAAGTTTTCTTGAAGTGGTGTAATTTAAGCTGCATACAGTACCTGTATTGAAACACACCCCCACCTCCATCACGTGATCCTCTGCTCTATTTGCCAAACTGTGGTCCGAGAAAAAAAATGTAATTCACTGAAAGCAAAGTCTGTCTGCTTTGCAGTAAATGAGGGTGTCTCCTGCAATGTAAACTGGCCCTATATTTATCTTGTCGAGGAATTCAGGCACATGGTCTCCAGCTCCTGTTCAGTTATTAGAGGTTTCTTACAGGTCTCCCTGAGCTTCACTGTGAACACTTGATGTTGCACTGCCGCCCTGTGGCTTCAGGAGAGGTTGCATCGAGCAATGACAGGACTTGTTGTTAATGATAAGAGATGATTTTATTTTGTTATTTTTGGAGCCAGACAATAGGTTTTATTTGTAGAAATTGGCTCAACAGGAGATAAAAACTTTCATCAGTTGGTGGGATGTCAACTGTAAAGAAGCAGATAAAAAGAGTTCCATTCTTTTGCTGTATCCCAATAAATAATCTCAACCAGACATGGGAGTGTAGCCCATAGCTGTTCATAAGGATCAATTCATTAGATTAGATAACTAACTGGATAAGATAATTTATGATAAGATAAGATACATTTGGATAAGATAAGTTAAGTTAAGATCAGATAAGATAATTCACTTGTTACAGCAGCAGATCTAACTAACTAAACAAGAAAACACATGAAGAAATAAATCAGGCAATAAAATTGAAGAAACACTACAGGTGGAATGTTACTTGCAGAGAAATGTACCTGGGTAAAATGCGGTGACACAGGATGATTGCATGAAGGTCCATTCTGTATTTTTTCTTTATGCATATGAGATATAGAAAATATATATTCCTGTTATTGTACTGCATATGTGAGTTGCATGGTTTGCCTCCCATCTATAACTTACAGTAAAACTTGTGTTGTTACGCATCGCAGAGATTTCACACCTGATGCATAATCTCCTGTTTTTTTCCTCCCATCGTCCACCTGCCTCTGTGTGTGCCTCACTGTTATCTCACACACAGAGGAGGACATTATTAGCTGTACACAAGACGGACAGAGCTATAATGACAAGGACGTATGGAAACCACAGCCGTGTCGCATCTGTGTGTGCGACACCGGAACCGTCCTGTGTGACGAAATTGTCTGCGAGGACCTAAAAGACTGCCCCAAACCCGAGATCCCATTCGGAGAGTGTTGCCCCATCTGCGCAGCTGACCCGTCCACGCCCATCGGTTGTAATTTATTTATCTCACACCTCTCATAAATAAATTACTGTGCCACTTCATGTTGTTTACTTTGGGGGAGAAAAGGACACATGGGCAGTTTTGGTATCAATCAAAGGTTGATTCATCAGGTCTGGACTGCGTGACACCCTTTGATTTGATCCTGTTTTCTGTCCCCAAAGCAAACAAATGATAAGAAATGAACGACAGCAGTGACACTTCTGACCAAACTTCAGAGAAATGCTTCCTCATCCTCACATTTCTTCTGTATAGCTGGCTCACCTTGGCCCCATCTTGTTTGAATACTCTGTCCTTCCCAGAGTATCATGAAAACATATGGGAGTCATTAAGGAAATACCTCAGTCAAGCAGACACGGCCTCATTTCTACACTATATCCTCTCTGTGGACTTCCACAGATCTGATGGCAAGAAACGAACACTGAGGCTTTTTCAAGGAGTCTTTTGCCACATTTAAAACTGCCACTGGCCTCCTGATCAACAGAGACCTTGTTGGTCAGCTCTGGAAATAAATTTGGATGAGGAGCATGGAGGGAATCGGAAGTGTCACTGTTTGCAATGCATGCTTATTGATTAAAATGCTTTATAAAATGCTTATCCTACATTCAAGGCAAAGTTAAATGCTTATTAGTAGTGTGTAACATGGAAAGCATCATTTTCTGTTATCAACCACCAAAAAAAGGGCTGGTAATGACTGAAATGTGTTTGACTGACCTGTCATCAGGTCAGTTAAACTGTCATTAAATCCAGAATCTCAGTTACTTGTTTTTAACAGAAAAGAAATGCAGATTCTACAGTTTTATGGAGCTATGTCTTTTATGGCCATTTCATATTTGAGAGGTTTAGTGTTATGCAATCAGTACTTTATAGAAAGGGGACATATTAGAAGTTACACCAAACATTTAAAATAAGATCATTCATTTTATTTCATTTCAGTGAAATACAGCCCAGACTAAAAAGTGAATATTAATATTGAATCTTGCTGAGTGCTTATTTTTTCCCTTTGCTTATTAAAATGCTTTGGAATATTAAAACTTGGGCCCATATTTAATACAGTAATAAAAATATATATATATATATATATATAACACAGGCTACTTCAGAACCTTTGCTTCCTGCTGTTCTCTCTGCTTTGCCTCTGCTTTGAGCTCTTAAAAGATGGTGATTCAACACTTTCTCAATCCAGATGGGCTCTTTGGGCTCCAGGAGTGTTGGTGGTGGTCTTCAGAGTTGATCATTTAGGTTATCAGCCTGTATGGATCCTAATGAGCCTGTGGAAAACATTGTGTAACCTTGATGGATTGTTTCTTTGTGAGCCAGTTGCTAACCACGATCTGTTTTTCCCCTCCACCCATCCTGACCACATGACAGGAACACCTGGGGCTAAGGTGAGACCACAGATATTATATTTGTGTGTGTGTGTGTTTTCATGTGCGACCTGAAGCTCCCCAGCACCTGCAGTTAAATGTGTATCCGTCTCAGACTCGTATCAGTGCTGAGTGGCCCTGTAGTTTATGGATTTGGACGATACTTTGATGTGAAAAAGCTTTTGACACACATCCTGCCCCCACACTCTGTGCTGTATGAATGTGTCTCATGATACTGTCGGTCATCCGACTTATTTACGTAGTTTCAGCAATATTTTGCTGCAGTTTCCTGATAAAATAGCAGCATTTTCCATCAGAAAAGCTTTTAGAAACTGTAGCTCTGATGCTAATTGTTGTTTTTATGCTTTATCTTTTCAATAACAGGGTCAGAAAGGCGAACCCGGAGACATTACCGATGTAAGTGGACATCACACTATGAAACTAAAACTCTTTTCATTTGGAGATGCTCAATAAACTGGTTTTATCGAAGAGATCAATTTCAACCTCACATGGAAAATGTGTACAGTTTAAATGCACAAAATATACTTGAAGTTTGAAAATTACAAGTAAAAATCCAACAAATGTCCCATGTGAGTGACCAAATGCAGTAGAATTTTTATTCCCCCATGAAATACACTGTCTACTGGAGTAGAAGTAGCATGAAATATAAATACTGAAGTGAAACCCATTATCCCAGGCTGTGGATGTGTGTAAGACTAGTTTTTCCAAATTACTGGACTAGATATCATCAGTTAGTCTGATGATATAACAGAAGAAGTTAAGGATTGTGAAGTACCAGTCTAAGAAAGAAAGAAGATGTGAGTGAGGAGAGAAGGCAGGTCTGTTGGCACATGCAGCAGGAGGACGGCCGAGCACGGGCCTCCATACAATCCTCCATACAGTTTGTCAGAGCCGAGAGAGACAGAAAACTCTGTGCTGCACCTGGAAATGCTTTACCCATCTGAGGGAATACAAGTTCATTGCAGGAAATAAGAATGCATTGTTTATTGCACGTTCCTCGTAATGCTTTGCCCGAAGAGATCTGCGATTAACAAGTCTGCTCTGATGGAGCGAGATAATGTTTCCCCCTCGACTGCCAGGAAATCTAAACCTCACGTGTGCAAATGCATCTGGAAAACGGACATTATAGTCAACAGAATTCCCTCATATGCCACTTTAAACACTGATGGTAACATTCAATACTAATATCTTTATATTTTTCTCTTTTTTTCTTCTCTCTACCTGCAGGTTGTAGGACCAAGAGGACCATCTGGCCCTATGGTATGCATCTATTTCTGAATTTGTACTTTTTTCCCTAGAGTATTTTCAGGAGCTGCTGTATATATGAAGATTATTTTGTACTAGAAAGAGCCTGCATTCGCAACAACCATATCAGTGTTAAGTTTAATAACCAGTTCCAGCGACAGGAAATAGAAACGTATCTGACATCAACAGTAGCAGAGTTCACAAGCTGCAGCTGTTCCTTCAACCCTCCTGTACTGAGGTAACGCCTGAAGTCACTGACTGCTTCACTGTCTCCCGTTTACCCAGGGCCCACCAGGAGAACAAGGACTCCGCGGATCGAGAGGAGACAAGGGAGAGAAGGTCAGTGTGAAAACTCTCAGTCTTACTCTCGACCCAGACCCTTAAACTCTGCACTCCCACTCCGCTCCTTTAAGAAGCACAGTACGCCCTATTGAATGTGAGAGCTTTAGGTCTTTGGGGAGGGCAGCAGAGTGGTGGGGGGTGGGGGTTGGTTGGGTATACCTGCTATAGTTTGCAGCATTGCAGAATGGCAGCCTTTCAGCGAGCTGCTCGGTCTAACTGGTCATGTGTCGTTTCCATTAGGCGGTGTGGTCTGGGTTGTTTAACAGATGTGGGACTGTGGGAGTCTCATAACGTAAAAATCTGCTGCTCTCCGAGGCCTCACACTCAGAAATCAGCGTCGTCGCGTTCGCCAAGCTTTGATCATCCCATTAAGTGATCCAGTTTATTCCTTGTAGTCGTCTTGTTTTTGGAGATTTGAGCACAGGGCGGATTAAATTTTTTGGCTAGCAGAGGTTAAATAGTTTTTTAGGTGTTCAGCACATTCTTTGTTCTGGATCCCCTTGCAGGGTAGTTTGTCACTACATGCACAGAGGTATGCCAGGTAGTCTGGTGCGGGCTGATAAATCATCAGCATTCACAACAGCCTCTGAGAGGAAGAATTATGCAAAAAAAACTTCACTTCTGATGAAACTGTGTTTGGTACCAGCTGCTCAGGTGTAGTCACGTTGGAGAAGGTTCAACTGAGCATTAAGCTCCTGTCAACAGTATCTGCAGAGAAACGTTGTCCAGCCGTGTGTCGTCTGCCAACAACTGTGTAATGATTTCTCCAAAAGAACTTCTAAGTTAAAAATATTGGCACACAGGCCTAAAATGAATCAGTGCTTAATGGTGATGACTATTATTTAACTGATATTTGGAAAGTGGATTTGCAGTTATAAACAATGTGATCAGAACAAAAGGGGATGATTTTTTCCCATGCATGCATTTTGTTTTCAAAGAAGACACTGCAGAAAGTATGAGCAGCTTATTTCACTAGAGCCAAAATGAAGTTAGGTAAAGACAGAAGATATATTTTCTTTTACAAAGTGAAAAAGCCAAAATTCCTCTGAACCCAACTCAATTGTATCCAACTCGTTCTTTTCTCCATTTTCCTTCATAAGAAGTTAAATGTTTTTAAGTATTTGACAGCTGGTTGGACAAACTAAACATTTGAATATGTCAACATAAGCTTGGGGAAAATGCAATTGGAACTTCTTGCACCTTTCCCCACATTTTATGGATCAAATTATAAATCAAATACTGGAGACAACCTCCAAAGATTAGTTAGTAAACGACCCTCTGTTGCAGTGGTTTGTTGGTCTGTGGTTGATTGTTTTCATTGTGATTTTACATTAAGTCTCATTCTTTTTATACTTTTTTTAGTTATTTTCTTTTTTTAACTGTTCCAGGGAAACCCTGGTCCCCGTGGCAGAGATGGTGAGCCTGGCACCCCCGGAAACCCCGGCCCCCCTGGACCTCCAGGGCCGAACGGACCCCCTGGCCTTGGCGGAGTAAGTGTCCCGTGATGAGTGGGGGCGGTGGACTGGCATTCACTGCAGACGTAGGCGCTGACATGTCGAACACTGTTGCAGGAGCCAAGAGTGGGTTCACTTTGAATGGCATGAAGAAGAATTTAAGAGCACAAAAGATGTGGGGAATCACAGTCAAAATGGGAGGAGGCAGAAAGACAACAGCAAGTGGATGCAGAGAGAGAGAATAGATCCAATGCCTCTGATTCTTTGCAGGAGAAAAGAAGGGAGGAGGTGGGTTGCGGGGAGTGGGAGGTGGACGGGCAGGAGGTATTATGATAGACTCGAGGAGGGAAAAGGAAGGAGCTTTTCTGGTTGGGGGTGGGGGCAAGGAGACAAGGAGAGTCTTTGTGAAGGAGAGAGAGATGAAAACTGTTCTCATGCTCTCCGTCTAACCACCGTCTGCATCAGGATCCGCATGAAAAACTCTGATCGTCTGTTAAAAAGCTGATCGTTCGAGCTCTGCAACAAAACATTCCACAACACAAGATCCTCATGAAACGTTGCGTTGACTCTGAAACAGCCAGACCTCAGATTTTTTGGATAAATATTTGTCAACATTTTCTTTTCATTATTTCCAATCAGATCAAAGCTTGATTCCACAATGATGAATGTAATACATGATGAATATAATACATTAGATATATACACATCCACTTTTAGCATTTTATTTCACCTTTATCCTTTTCACAACAAGTATTTCATTATTCTATCTTCATCAGTTTACCTACTTTTGTTTCCTAATTCCAAATGTGTGAGATTTACGATAGTGCTTCCTTACTTCCTGTTGATATTATCTTGTTCTGTGTGGGGGTGGGTGGATGGGTGTTTTTTTTTACTGTTTTTATTGTTTCTATTGCTTTTATTCTGTAAAGCTCTTTGTGTTATATTGGTTTTTATGAAAAGTGCTAAACAAAGTCTAATTGATAAGAAAAATCTTACGCTCTTTGTCTTCTGCCTCTTTCAGAACTTTGCAGCTCAGATGGCCGGTGGCTTTGACGAGAAGTCCGGCGGAGCACAGATGGGTGTGATGCAAGGACCGATGGTGAGCGAGCGATGATGAGCTGAGGCCTGCTGCTACTCCCATGTTCTTTTGTTGCACACTCGGCTGCTTATGAATCAACAGTTTGATCAGGAGCAAAGTGTTTAGAAGAAGAATTCTGCATCAGTCAACATCTGCATCTCTGCTTTAAGTGCTGGAGTTTTTTTAATGGCTCATTCTGCACGTTGGCCTTTGCGGAGGAGCACAAACAACTTCCTCACATGCTCCAGAGAAGCTTCACATCATGGTTATTAAATGTGTAAACTGCGAGATTGGACACATCGTCAGCTTTGTTCTTCATCATGAGAGAAGAGACCCACGTAGGATTTAAAACATCCAAGTGCTGGAGAAAAGAAACAACAAATCCCTGCATCCTGAAGGAAAATAGACACTTCATGTGGAGTACAGAGCGGTAATTTTATAAATTAAGGAAACAGCCTTTGATGGTCCTTATACTTGAAGCCAATGAAAACCCACCTCCGCTGCCATCAGTTAGCATGGCAGCGTGCCTGTGATGGAGTAAGGAGCACACTGGATGCTATTTTGGTCTCGAGAGCCACAGAGAAGCTTGGCAGTGTCTCAGCCCAGCGGAGGTTTGAGACACCGCCGATCAGATCCGCCACAGCTGGCAGCAGAGTGTGTGTGGGTGGGTGGCGTCACTCCTCCTGACTGACTGTCCCTTCACATGTCTGAGAGAGCTCCACAGTTCTGGGCCCTTTTGAAGCCAGCTCACATTTAATTTGGCAGCTTGTCGGGGGAGGGACTGACTGCACTGATGTTAAATCACAAGTCAAGTTCACAACCCACACACACACACACACAGGCTGGACCCCAAACTATATCCATGCGCCTACATACCAAACCCTCAAACAACGCTCTCACTGAAATTAACACTCACACGGATACACACACATGCATGTCCCTAAAACACACGTTCTCTGATCCTGGAGGTATAGAGCCCCATTGATAAAGTTTCTACCGACTTTGGTGAAGGCTTCCCACTCCCACTGAAAGGTGACTTTCATTCCCCTTCTGAGGACCACTGTGCCGGGCGGTGACATTTTCTTTGGCTGCCATCCCTGACTTTTTTTTAAAGCAAAACCATGAAGGTTTACACAGAAGAACCCACTGAGAGGAATATGTATTTTATCCAGGAGGAAAGCTGCCACAACCAATCAAGTTTATTACTGAAGAACTTGGAATCTTGTTAAACGTTATATTGCAGAGCCTCATTATTCCTTTTACAACAAATTTTATATACTCGTGTGTTTGTGTGTGTGTGTGAGAGAGAGAAAAGCAATTAAGATTTGGCTCATCACCTCCACAGAATGTGATTTTCCTCTTGTTGAGCACTGATGCATGACGTTTAAGCAGAAATGACTCTGGCATGTGACTCCAGCCGGAAGCACTTGCAGAGGCGATTAGGATTCAGTCAGAGGAAAATGTAGTTTCAGAAACCTCACCTCTCCCTGTTGTGATGACATCTCACGTCTCTGAACCCAGACAGTTCAGTTCTGATGCTGTTTTTTCATCCCATGTCAAAGTGTTAGAAGTCATGTAGCGTTCGAGCTACTGCTGATGACCTTTGAGCTGTAGAAAACACACAGCACGTGGGAAAAGAGCTGACAGGAGAAGAAGAAGTAGAAGAAGGGATGAATGGAGCGAGGGATGAAGAGTGAATGCAGCTGAGGAATTTGAAACGATTTATGGATTTGACAGGAGGAGATGATGAGTTCTGTTTAGCTTTAGGGGAAAGCAGGTGAAATGTTTTCCTCCCAGAGTTCAAGTGGACAAGACTCAAGCAGAATTGCTAAATGTATAGAATAATTGTGCTCCAGTCTGTGCAGTGTTTTAACAGTGATAAAAGGATGTGATAAAATGTTGTTAGCCTGATGTCGTGTCTTTTTTCTTCCCCTCAGGGCCCCATGGGACCCAGAGGACCACCTGGCCCCAGTGGATCACCTGTAAGTACCTCCTCTACTCCCCAGACAATGCATGAGCCAGACACACCTGCAGACAGGATCCTGTGTGACAGGATGCTCAAAGCTAAATCTTATAATTGTTATGTGCTCGATGGCACATTGTCTATTTCCTCTGAGTGTGAGGATTTATTTTTACTCACAGCTAAATAACAACAATGACTCCAGAATGACCAGCAGAGAGAAGACCACACTCTGTCAGAGATAAATGTACACACACCGCTCAGGTTTTGTGTTTTATGGAGGAAGGTGGCACATGGAGAATAAGCCTGGGGGGAAGTTTCCTATATGCCACAACCCAGACATAATGTCAAACACCTGTCAGCCTTTCAGGGAGCCCACCAGGTTTAACCCTCCAGCCCCCGACCTGCCCACCTTTTTTTTGCTCCAACTTCCTGAGTGAAGCTCTTAAGTTGTAGGCAATGCCAGCTAACTTGCCCCAACTCGATGGTTGATGGTTTAATCACCCCGAGCCAAGTTTCTTCTTACACGTGCGGCTCCTTAGATCACATTCACACGGATTACTTGACATTTGTAAAGAAGAAGTGTCGGTTCACAAATCTGCAGTTTATAATCAAGACCAAAAGACAAATACAAAGCAGCTATGTAGTTTTACTCTATAAAGGTGTTTTCCTGAATATATAGATGTGCTCTGTTTTACAATCCTTGTTTTTTAACTGTAAATTAAGACGTGGAATTAAATTGAAAGTGACATCTGCTACAAATGACTAGAAGGTAAAATGATTAGTTGTAGAAATGAAAAGAAATGCTTCACATTCTCCAGTGTGAGAACTGGCTCCTGAACCGAAAACCATTTGGTTTTGGTTTTTTGGTCAGACAAAACATTTGAGGATCAGATTTGCTCATTGTAATGAGCATTTCTCACTATATTTTGAAATATCCTAGACTAAACTATGCTGATTTTATAAATTAACTGAAAGAAATATCTCAAGATGAATCCATAATGAAGCTTTTACAGCCATACAAATGACAAAGATTTTGAAACATCCAAATCTGTAGTAACAACGGTGCCTTCGACTGACAATCATTCTCTAATCAATTAGAAAAACAAGTGAGATATGCTCATCATGATTTCCTGAAGCTCAAGCCAATATATTCATATTGGCTTTTTTGAATATGTCAAAAAGTCAAAAGTTTCACATTTTATCAGCTTAATTCAGAGAATTTAGACTTAAACTACATTTATTCAGTTATTAAAGTAGTTCAGGTTTAATTTGATGTTAGTAATGTGTTTTTTTAGTATTGTCTTTGCTCCTGTTTATATAAAAAAAGTTCACTTATCAATCTCTCTCTTTTTTTCTTCATCTCAGGGCCCACAAGGTTTCCAGGGTAACCCAGGAGAGGCTGGAGAGCCCGGTCAATCTGTGAGTGTCCCACAGGGAACGATTCGTCCTCCCCTCCACTTTCCATGCTGTCTTATAAATCCTTCCTCTATTTGCCTTTTTCATAAACTCCTCAGATGTCTCCCCCTCCTCCAGCCTTACATAAGCCTTTTGTTCTTCTTTTCTTTTTTCAAACACCTTCGTCAACTCATGTCTGACTTTTTAAAAAGGTTTCCATCTTCCACAGTAACATGCCTGAGTTTGAAATGACTTCAACAGACGATATAAAGTAAATCTTATATTGTTCATTCAGTAAAAGAACTAAAACACCATTGAGGTGCAACTAAAGTCAGTTCAACCTCATCCTGTTCAGTTTTATTACTTAATTCTAAAACTTCAGCCACAGCTTCTCCTTTGTATCTTCGCTTCTTTTTCATTAACACTTTCTAACATTTCACTGCAGACCACTAACTTTATTTACAAGCCTCTTCAGTCAGTCCTGTCAGTGCTCATGTCCCAAACTCTCATCAATGTGAAGCCTGACCTCTCGCCGACCTTTTTCTACCCATCTTCTCACTGTTTTCTCATGATTCTTTTTTGCACCTTTTAAATTTCTGCTCAGATTATCCCCTACCCCTCAAATAACTGCTCTCAGTCCAAGGACCATTACTCTGTTTACATTTTGTGTTCCTCTTACAACTCCTTCTCCTAATTTCATATCGCTCTTTCCTGCACCCACTTCACTCTTTCTTAAACCCTTCTTGTTGTTCTCCAAACTCCAGACTGTCCCCTCCATTGCTTCCCGTTCCCTCAGCAGGTAGAAAACACAGGGTCTCCTCACTGCTGTGTTAATCTGCTCCTGTGGAGTTCAGATAAGCTGAGGTGCACTCTCTGTTAGACTATGTGCCAGTGCATCATTAAGAGTGATTAAAATCAAGCTTCTCACCAGAAACGGACCTGACAGTCAGGGAAGGGTCACAGTGTCAGTTCAGTGTTTGTGGAGCGCAGAGACAATTTAGCCAGAGTCCAAATAGAATAAAAATGAGCAACAATATGCAATTAATATATTGATATTCCTAATATAAGGATCCAACGTAGACACAGTAATACAGACAGAGAGAGAGAGAGAGAGAGAGAGAGAGAGAGGTCTTCTAGATTGAAAAGTAATGATAATGTCAATACACATTAAGTTCATAACCTAATGGAGAAACTGGCAGAAAGAGAGAAGGATTAACACAGCTGAACTTTATCAAAAGGATATTCAGGTATTTGTTCCATTGCTTTGGTCTAGTCTCCTGTAAATCCTGCTGATTCTGATCGTCCCTCATTGTCATGTAGAATCATAATTATTATTGTTTAGGAATGTAAATCCTCTTAAATAAATACTTATATTAATTAGACTGCAAAGATCAGCCAGACTATATGGTCTGAATAACAACTGTTTCTGATTCATGTCTCTGTAAACACATTGTTAGTGGCATCTTATCTCAGCAGGCTACATGTATAAATGTGTCTTTGGTGAATGGTCAAATAGTAAATTGAGAGCAGAGGTTTTCACCATAAGCTTTGAATTAGTGTATGACCCAAATTCCAAAATGTTGCCCCCTGTTGGTTGTAACCAGTAACTGTGTCTCACCTTGGGTTCTTTTCTCTTCACTAATATAGGGCCCCATGGGCCCCCGTGGCCCCTCTGGATCTCCTGGAAAACCTGGAGATGACGTAAGTTTCTCACACCTTCATAAAACAATAAATATACATTTATAAAAGCAGTTACTCTGACCCTGAGGCTACTTGTCAAACTGCTGTCCTCAGTGTTACCTCTTCTAGGTGTATTCTGAAAGAAAATGTCAACCTCTCTACTGAATGTGCTTTAAATCTGGTCTAAAAACCAAATATTCAAATAAAAGGCTATATTTAGATTTTATTTTATTTGTTATAAAGTATAAATTAGACTCATTTTATTAGATCTATGTGTTTACTTCTCTATCATTGTCTATAACTTAGATATGGATGTTAAGTTCAACATAAAATATTTGGTTTTTAGTTTGGTGTTTTTACTGTTATACTACCAACAGAAAATACTGGATTTAAAGAGTTGCAAATGTATTGTCCACCTCACATAGCAAAGACTACAGCAGTACTATGAGACATGTGTCATTACTGGCATACATTTAGACTATACTGTATTTATCCTTAAGGTGTGTTTGTGTGGATGTTAAACTTTTTTAATTTGTCTTTATACTCTGAGACTTGATTATCGGTCAGCCTGCACGTTGTGTTATGTTACATGGGATATACTCAGATATTTGATGCTGCCTTTTAATTCTGCCCAAAACTTTATCACAGATTTTATCCACCTGCCAATATTTCAGACTTTAAAATGTAATTCCTACTTTTAGCCACATGATGGTAGCAGACATGACATATCCCGTCGTGTCCACTAGGAGTGCTCACTCTCACATCTACAACTAACTAACTTTACAGTGTAATATATATTTAAAAGTGCAATTTACATGAAGTTTGACATATTTTATACATTTTTTATTCGAAATTTTCATGATGTTTTTTTCTTTCAGGGTGAAGCTGGAAAATCTGGTAAATCAGGCGAGCGTGGACCTTCAGGACCTCAGGTGAGATTCCTCCAGCTGTCGAGTCGGTGGTTTTAAATACTGAGGTGGTATCTAACTCACTGAAGATGATTATTTGTTAATAAATAGAATTATTTGGGAGAAAAACACAATATTTAACTAGACTTTTAAACTCCAGTTATTTTTTTGTATTTTACTTTATATTGTTTAAATGGTACCATCCCAACACAAAGAAAAAGCGGCATAGATAATGGGTGGATGAAATAGATTTACATGACTGAGTGCTGCATCTATATTTTAGTTGTTCAGAATATGAAAGTAACTTTAATGAAGTTTAGATTTAGATAAAAATCATTCCTCCTCTCGAGCCAAAAATCTGAACATTTGAAAAATACATTTAAAAAATAATTTGCAAAAGAACGTCTTGGCAGCAACTTCATTTCATACCACAGCTTCATCTTCTGTCCCCTCCACTGTTCAGTATATTGATCTGGTGCATCATCTCTCTACAGGGAGCGCGTGGATTCCCAGGAACTCCCGGCCTGCCCGGCATCAAGGGTCACAGAGTGAGTGATTGTGGTCTGCAGATGGAGAATGGGTGCTTGTCGTTTGTGCTCTTGATGTCAGTTTCCTAACTCTGCACTGTTTCTCCGTGTTATTTTTCAGGGTTATTCAGGTCTTGATGGTGCAAAGGGAGAGACCGGAGCTGTTGGGTCTAAGGTAGGATTTTATTTCTGTGTACCAACAACATCTCAGGTAGCAACTGGTTTAATATATCCCCCAGAAAGTTTTGCCAAAGTGATGTGGTTTCAGACAAGCCATGGACGTCTTCAGTTTGTCTTGTCACACTAACAGATAAATCTGTCCCCTCTGTAGGGTGAGGCTGGTGCTCCCGGAGAGAATGGCGCCCCTGGACCTATGGTGTGTATTTCTGGACGTCACAACAACCGAACATCACAGTGGAAAAGATGATCGATGTTTGTAAAGGTTTATTTTCCTCTCTCTTGTCTGCATAGGGACCTCGTGGTTTGCCCGGCGAGAGAGGTCGTCCTGGACCCAGTGGAGTTGCTGTGAGTCTCTTAAAAACTCTTATTGGACAATGAATTAACATCTGGTTCCAAAAAGATAATCCTTCATACTGTTTTAGTTTTGTTTCTACTACATAGAAGGTAAGTACACTATTGGAGTATTAGTTGTACCAAACAGGAGTTAACCTCAATGTGTAAAGATTCATTTTATTACTCTCTTGTAATAGTTTGATTATTTTAAAAGCGTGTGTGAACTGTTTATGTCTCATTTGTCTGTTTGTTTGTCTCACAGTTTGTCTTTTATATGCTGACGATACTTTACTTTCTTTATCCAGGGAGCTCGTGGAAATGATGGTCTGCCCGGCCCTGCTGGTCCTCCAGTGAGTCTCATTTCATTCATTCTCAACATTTAGTTTGAGATGTATTAATAAATAAAGTCTAAAATCACCATCAACCCCTGTTTTCTCTTCACCTCACTTCTCCACATTCACTCCTGTGCAGTCGGATAGTATCTCTCTGCAGCTGGAAGTCTCACTGATTAATATCTGAGCTGACAGCCTGTCTTTTCCTCTCTGCAGGGCCCTGTCGGTCCTTCTGGAGCTCCTGGCTTCCCTGGCTCTCCTGGTTCAAAGGTACGTTTTCACAGTTTCCTCTCTCTCCTCACCACTGTTGTGTTTGAGAGAATTAGTCTCTGTGTACGCCTTTTTCTTTCTGTGGAGATCAAACCCGAATAACTGAACTCGCAGTTACTCAACTTCAGACTTTTCCTCAATAAAAATAAAGCTGTGTGTATAAAACAGAGCTTTGTGATCTCTGTGCTGTTTAAATACGACTTTATAAATCATATCAAAAAGGTTTATATCACAGAAAATGGCAGCATTGCAGCTCAGAGAGGATTTGTGGGGACGAGTTGAAATGCATTGGTGAAATCAGAGAAGGCTGTGCTGCATTGAAAAGTGCTTTAAGCCTCCATCTGTGTGGAAAATTAGGAAGGAGGGGGTTTAAAGTGTTATTCTCCCTCTCTCACTCCCTCATGCTGTCGCTTATTCTTTTCTTTCTCTGCTTTGCATTTGATTTATGCCTCCTGCACGGTAGACAGACTCAGATCTGTGCTCGAGGGCCCATGCTGAGGGTTCGCTTTCTTCTCTGAGCCCCACCGTAGTTTGGGAAATCTTTCAGGAATTGCAAAACGGAGGATTTCTTTTACAAAGTCCAGGAGTTTCCCGTGAAATAATCAAGGCTCACAGTGTGTATATATGTGTGTACTTGTGGTTTTGTATTGGATCAGGTTACATCCATGAACACATACAGTGCAATTTAATCTGTGTCTGTAGGAGAGTTTGTCTGCCTCTAGAGAATGTGTGTGTTTGTTTGACCCACGGTGAGAAACATTAAGAATCTCGTATTATGTTATTATTCTGTACTTTCAGTTTAGGTCATTTTATGGACTCTATGAGAAATACTCTGCACTTTTAAAGAGGCCCAATACTCACACGGTTAAAAAACAACTGGCTATAAAGTAACATCACAGGTATTTGAACCTTTGAATAAACCGTGCTGCTTAAATAAGAAAATATAAATGGGACAATATAAACCCAGCTCAAACTGCTTATTTAAGTTGTGTTGTTTTGTAAACTCAAAGCCGCTGCCTCTAAGATACTGAGAATTTTTCCCATAATTTTATAAAAGAAAACTGATTTTCCTCCCTTCGTCCCAGTTTCACCTCCGTGTCAGAGCCAGCAGAATATTGGCCAGGACTTATTAGTGTGGGCTCAGTAAGAAGAAAACGTCTACTGCATCACCGTCTTTGTAAACAATTACAAACTCTATTATGTCACATTGGGGAGGAGGCTGAGTTTATTCAAAGCTGCAGCCATAGCAAAAGAATTCCATTCACCAGCACAAGGCTGCATACCATCAGTGTGGTCACATCTCTGGCAGGGAAGCAAAATACGGACTTGAGTTTCTCTGAGGACTCAGCCATTTTTTATACTGAATCACAATGTGTGAAAAACATTATGCACTTGGTTCTGAAAAACAAACCTCGTAGAGACAAAGAACAGGCAGCAGACTCATTATTTTCTCCATTTAAACGCTGCCATTTTGTAACTTCAACTTTGAGTGTAGGTTTCTGTTTCACAAATGAATCCAGACAGTAAGGAAATAATTCACTGCTTTTTTTAACCGATCAACATAGTATGTGAATAATGTTCAATATAGACAGAGTTAATATTTGGTGTCCAGACACTGATCACATTAACACTTAAAAACTGAGATGGAGCTAAACTCAATTGTTCTTCTGATATTGAGAAAAAACTTATAGTTATTTACCTACAACTCTTTTTATCTTAAATGCAGCAGATGACAACAGACACAAGCTTGAGTTTGGTAATAACACACAGATCAGCATATTTTAGGTAAGAATAAATAAAGCAAGTTGTCACATAAACACATTCATTTGAGCTGATTTGAGTTTTCTCTGGCTGATTATGAAGCACTGTGACTTTGTGACTTCTCATATTGTAGAGTTTTGTATTGAGTCCCTATTACAGGAAAGTAATTATGAGAATAAATGAGCTGTATGCAACACAAGTCATGTCCCAATCTTTAAAACAACAGCAACAAAACAAAAATGGCCATCAGCACTTATAATAATAATCAAGCATATTTCATCAGTGTCATAAAGTTCGAAATTAGCAGGTGGCTGAAGAAGCTATAAGAACATCGAAAGAAAAAAAAATTCTTGGAAAAACTTTGGAATAAGCAAAAAACTCACCTGTACTTGTAATTCTACAACGACCACAAGGGGCAACAATGTGCCTGTTACACACGAAAACAAATGTAGAAGTCAAAGTGAAAAAGTGAAAGTGTTTTATCGCACAAGAGAAAGTACGATGCTTTGGTAAATGGACATTAGTTAACTGCCCCCCCTCTGTTAAAGAGCAGCTCACTGAGCGTCTCTATGGAACCAAACACATGAATTCACTTCATCTTCTGGTCTTGTGTTAAATTTATAGTGTGTAAGAGACGTGTGTGGCCTCCAGCAGTGCTTCAGTTTTTTCTGTTGACTTTCTCGTTTTTTTTAGGTGATTGACAATATTATTTACATTTCTGAAGATCTTTGACTGAATATTAATTAATGTATCATCCTCTTCACTCTCCTCTGTGTTGCTGACCAGGGAGAGGCTGGTCCTACTGGTGCTCGTGGACCTGAGGGTGCTCAGGGACCTCGTGGAGAGTCAGGTACCCCTGGATCTCCCGGACCTTCTGGCGCTTCTGTAAGTGATGCTTTAAACATTTATTTAAAATAAGAAACAATATATGAACTATAGCAAAGTATTGTTTTGGTTTAATGTACTTGCTGCCATCTGTATATTTCGGGACATTATTTGGGGGAGTTTCAAATCATTTGAGTCAACACTCG